GAAGCCTTAAAGATGAAATAATATTTAATTTAGATTTATAGTATTTGTGCATATTTACAGTAGATTTTTTTTTTAGCTTTGACTAATTTTTATATCTAAAAAAAAAAACAACAATTGACAATTTTCATTAGCTTAAAAAAGTTTTTGTGCTTAGTAATTTTCATTAGCTTTTACTTTTTAATAAACTTCTGTATCTTTAACCCTTGTCCACTGTTCACATTTACTACCTTTTTATTATGGTGGGGATGAAAACATCCATTAAATTAAACTGCTGTAAATATGCATCAAGTGAAAAAATGTTCCATTAATTTTGCATAATTTTTAAAATTTATTTAAAGAAAAGATTTGTGCAGCTTCTCTTATTGCAGCAAACTCCATTTTTACTTTTGATATTTGGCGCCAGTTTATCAGGAAGTGACGATTTTGATCTCTTTGATTCGTTGGATGGAAACACAGCTTTATTTGCACATCTTTTATCCAATAATTCAGTTTTGAGCATTTCAAGATGGAAACAGCTGTTACTAAATGCTCAAGAGCAAGACTGTGATAAAAGGCAAAAAAAGGCCAGTCCACAATTACATTTTATATTGAAAATACAACATTTTGTGTTTTTTTTTCACTAAATCAGTGACATCATTTATGAATTTGCCAATTAAAGAGTTAAAATCCTATAATTTTCTAAATCATTTAGCAGTTTTGATCAGGACTTAGGCTAATTAACAGATTTATGCAAAATAAATTATTAATTAAACAAAATATTTAATTGCAATTTTACAGCAGTTTAATTCAGTGGATGTTGTAAATGTGCCCAGAATTTATTTTAGAGTTTTTTTTATTTATTTAAATTCTCAAATTTAAATTTGAGAAAAGTATTTTCTCAAAATATATGTCAAAATAAGATTTGTCACCACATCATTTTGCGAGCTGAAACACAAAATCAAATATGGTCAAATTAAGACTCAAAATCCCCCCAAAGTGGATGAAAAAATCCCCAACATTAGGGTTGGCAATTAATATATCTATTTAACCCTCTACTGCACGGTGTCACCATATGGCAACATGATACTTATGTTATTTCCCTGCCACTGTTTTTTAAACATACATATATTTTTTTTGTTGGAAAGAGCTGATGATGTGCTTTGGTTAAGTCACGTTACATGCTGTGTTTTTCTTTAGCATGATTTCTAAAAGACTGACGTTTATTGTGAGTAGTTACTGAATTCAACTGTAAAATTCAATAAAAACAAAGGATCAAATTATGTCAGATTCACAAAAAAAAGATTGAAACATCACCTCCAGTAAGCTATTTTCACAGCTCAATTTTTTTTAATCAAATTATCTTCTTGCAAATGGATCAAATGTATGTGCTACCAAATGGCGAGGAACAATAGTGGAACGTGTAATATTGCAATGGGTTAGCTAGCTAGCAAGGTCAGCTGTGAACTTTTAACTTGTAACAATAACAACATAAGAGCTAGTAATATAATGTTGATTACTTGTTTGGTAATGACATTTGCATTATGGATAAACTCTAGTTTTAATGGCAATATTAATTTTGAATAGATATGAATACAGGGGACGGTGTATTAGCGAGCACCACCATGTTCTTTGGTAAGTGAAACAAGAAAAGAACAGAACTGGCTCTTCCTGCAGATGAAAGTGAGGATGAGATGGGTTTTAGTGACCATGAGAATGATGCAGACTGGACATTTGATAGAGATAGTCCAGGTAAGTTAGCTCAGAGGCAGATAAGACAGGTGTAGTATTGTATATAGTATAGGATAAACATTGTTAGCTTATAGCTAATCTGCATCTGGCTATCCTAGACTTGTTATTTATTAGTTATAATATTTACTGGAGAAAATAGTTATATTTACTGTATGTTGTATACATGATAATACAATATTAGGTTTGTTTTTAATTATATTCAGCATGAAATTAATGGAATAAATGAAAGCTGTTGGAATATGAGTTGCTGAAAAGTAAGTTGTCATTGAAAAGTTCTGTGTTAAAGCTTGTAATGCTGCAAAACAAATAAATTATTTTAACCAACATAATTATTAATTTTGAGGAAAGTTTAGAATTAGGAATTTCTAAGTTAGATCCACTGTTGGATGTTGTTGCCATATGGCAACATTTCATAAAGTACCTTAAAAAATATTTTTCCAATTTTTTTACAGCACTTCAAGTTAAGCCATTTTAATTAAAGAAAAACAGTTTTAAAAAATTGATAGATTCATCATAATGCATGCGGTAGAGGGTTAAATTTTAGTTTAAGTGTTTTTAAGTTTTCTTTTAACTTTTAGAATTGTTGTATTCCTTTTAAGCCCATTTTTCACTTACTGAACGTTGTAAACCATTTGTAAACATTATAACGTAGTTAACAATAACAACACTGGGTGGGAAATGTATGGTGTAGGCAATCTAAAAAAAGAAACAACTGCGCACCCTAAAATCAGCTGCTGAAAAACCAACAGAAAACCAAGTATAAATGCTGTAAGTATACATGTGTGTGTGTCCCACCCAAGAAGCTACAATTAGCAAACAGGTATTAACACAGTATTTTAAGTATACTGCAGAGAAAGCGCATTCCAGGGTGTGTTAACGGGTGTGTGTTAACAAGGAAAAGTGTGTGACCATTTAAGGCTGATTTTGTTAGAAGAGTCTCTCTCATACACAGTGTTCTCAGTAGCTGGCGCTCTACCATCTAAACAGAGTGTCTGTGCCAAAAAGGCTTCAAGAGTCCCAAATGAAGAAAATATTAGGAGAACAGAAAACTGCAAGTTATTTTTATCCACCAAAAAAGACTACAAGGTTAAAAATGAAGTGAAATCCTTGGCACTTGGTTTGCAATGATTGTCTCAGTTTGACTACAAGGGGTGCTGCAGCAGACATTAGCATAAACCTTTTCTTCTTCTATACTACCTGACGAAAGTCTTGTTGTCAATCCTAGTTGTAAGAGCTAGGAATAATAACTTGATAAGTTGCTTATTTGGAAAAGTGGCAGACGACCTATTGGAATCTGCATGGACCCAAGATTCTCACAGAAATCAGTCAAGTTTAGTAAAGGAAAACATTCAGGTTAAATTCAGTACGGGGCGTGCAAGAGACCTGCAGGTACTGTATTAAGCCTGCGGTATCAAGACATTTGTGCAACCCATTACATTACAAACCACAGAAGTGGGCAAACTCTTAAGCAGGATAGCGCTCCTTCTCATGCTTCAGCCTCCACATCAAAGTTCTTGAAAGCAAAGAAAGTCAAGGTGCTCCAGGATTGGCCAGCCCAGTGACCAGAAATGAACATTATTGAGCTTGTTTGGGGTAAAATGGAGGAGGCATTGAAGATTAATCCAAATAATTTTGATGAACCCTGGGAGTCCTGTAGGAACGCTTTCTTTGCCATTCCAGATGACTTTATTGATAATTTATTTGAGTCATTGCAGAGATGCAGTCCTCCAAGCTCATGGGAGTATTATATTAATTCTTTTTCCAAGGTACCATGACTTTATATTCTATACTGTACATTATTTCTGTTAAGTGACAAGACTTTTGTCTAAGCTAAGTCAGACCTTACTGTACCCATAATCCAGAGGCCTTTGCCTTTCATATAACCCATTTCTGATACCAAACGATTAATTTAGTTTAGTTTAGTTTAGTTTAAACTTTATTGTCCGTTCTGCTTGACACAGAAAGTACATTTTTCTTCAACACTGGATTTAGGACAACAATTACAAACATACAACAACGACACAATAACACTTATCAACACAACAACATAAGTTAAAAGTTTAAAAACCAAATTAGCCAAATTAACTAGAAGTCAAGTTATTATTTGTTGTTCCTAAAACTTGGATAGGCTTTTGTCAGGTATGGTAATGATATGAATATAGTGTGAAGAAAATGTTGCTGAGGAGAATACTTTATTACTATAAAAAAAAAACAAAAAAAGCTTACTTTTTATAATGATCAATTGCCCCATTGCCAAAACACACATACAAAAACTAGGCTTCAGCTGCTTTCAGCCATATATAGGCACAATATCTACTGTAAAAGAGTAATAGAAGAAGTAAAAACAGGTTAGCTGCTTGGTTGCCTGAATTAATAGCCATTCTCAAGTCAAGAATAATGAAATAATTTGCGTTTAATAAAGTAATGAACCCTTACAGTTTTCCTTTTGATGGCATATTTATCAGCGCTTCACATTACAAATCAGGTTAACCAAAGCAGATGCAGTTATTGCATTTGCAGAGACGAGTTAATAATGGAGCAGAATTACTACACATTGGCAGCTCAGTGGCTCAGTGAATAGCTCTGGTTTGCCCCACAGTCCAAAGACATGCCGTAAAGGTGAATTGGGTAAACAAAATTGGCCATAGTGTATGAGTGTGTGTGAATGCAAGAGTGTATGGGTGTTTCCCAGTGCTGGGTTGCAGTTGGAAGGGCATTCGCTGTGTAAAAACATATGCTGAATAAGGTGGCGGTTCATTCCGCTTCATAAATCCCAGATTAATAAAGGAACTAAGCTGAAAAGAAAATGAATGAATGAATGAATGAATGAATAGAGTTTTTGGGCATATCAACCAAGAAAATAGCAACTTTCCATTTTCTGTCAGTCTTAGTACATGACGTAACTACAGAGGAATCACGTTTTAAATAAGAAAATGATCAAAACTGTGTTTTAGTGACCTAAACTGACTATTAGTAATTTATGCAACGCTAAGTTCCTTTAAAGGTTGGACATCTCCAGCTGTAAAGGACAACTAAAGCCTAAAGGAAAATTTTGTTCACAGTTTTACTGTGCCCTGTATCATTCTAAATCTATATCACTTTCTTTCATTTGCAGAGCACATAAGAAGAAGATATAATTGTAGAATGTTTTTAACAATACATTGGATTTCATTTGAGATCAAAACCACATTGGACAACAGAAGAAGTTAAAGAGATAAGTAAACGGCAAATGTTTCATTTTCGGATTTTATAAGTGGTATTGACATCCTTACCTATTTCCTTGGCCCCTTTTCTCCAGACTGTCCTCTTTGGAATTAGACGATGGTATCTCCCTCCCACTCTCCTGCTCCAGTGTTGATGGATCCAGTCCAGGCAGGGGGGTTCGCTTGCCATCCACTGGTCCTCTCTGGATCCTCCCTTGAGCCTTGAGATCAGCTTCAGAGCTCCTTTTCATGGCTTGGAGTTGCGCTAGAGGCACTATGTCGCTGTCTTGAGGCCTGTGCCAGACCGTCTGCTGGCTCGTACAGTTGTAGTAGTAAAACCGATTGTTGTTGCTATCGAAAAGCTCCCACCACTGGTTGCCGTCTGACTGACGGACAGGGGCGCCAGGCGGTGGTTCCCAACCACACTCACCGGTCAGCAGGTTAACATACATGCGCTCCCTCGAGCGCGGCTCCACGATCTCCACCCAGTCAGACCTAGAGAGAAAGGGCAGATGGGAAATGTAGTCAGGATAGTCAAGGTGAAATATGGCGTACACTACAAGACAATCAAACAACAGGTTGAGTTAATAGTTCATTAACAATGAAAATTCTGTACAGTTGTAAATCCTACTTTGCTAAATAAATAGGATTTTAACAAAGGTTACATTTGATGTTTTTGGGTTCCAAACCATAAAAACAAAACAACATTTAGTCTTGGACTGGTTTGCTTGGTGCACTCACTGCTTTTTATAAGACCAAACTAGGGATACAAAAATATATAGCTTTTATGTGGTAAATTTGCAATCAAACTGTGCTGTGTTTAGAGCTAAATACACTTGCTGTATGAGTGTATAAATGGGAAGAGCATGTAAAGAAGTCCAAACTGTACCACGAAATCATCATTTAAATACATGGAGTAAGTGAAGTTCTGCTGCAAGACAACACTTACCACGTCAACTAGCATTACCTGTGCTGTCATGTCAACAATGATAAAATGACTCTTGTTCACTGTTGATAAAATGTTACTATCAATTAAATGTGTTGATAGCTTGTGTTTTTTTAATCAGTACGGATATATATAATGGAAAACATACTAAAGAAATTCATTCATTCATTCATCTCATCTCATCTCATCTCATCTCATCTCATCTCATCTCATCTCATTCATTCATTCTCCTTCGGCTTAGTCCCTTATTTCTCAGGGTCCTTGACAGCGGAATGAATTGACACAGCATCACCCTTCCAGCATCATGCTGGGAAACACCCATACACTCACACACATACACTACGGCCAATTTAGTTCACCTAAAGTGCATATCTTTGGACTGTGGGGGAGCACCAGGAGGAAACCCACGTTAAATCGAGGAGAGCATGCAAACTCTAGACAGAAATGCCAACTGGCCCAGCCGTAATTCAGACCATGAACAGTGCCAACCACTGAGTCAGTAAATAAAAAATACTCTATGATGACAGTGGACACACTATACCTACACAGAGTTCTGTCCTATCAGCTTACAAAAGTAAATTTTTTATCATAAGTGCCCTTTAAAATGGCCTTTCAAGGATAAGGAGTGCCCAACTGAGTTCAGCCTGCCGGTTGCACTTTCATTCTAGCTTTAGTCTCTCAAGGTTTCCTTCATTCATTTTCTTTTTGGCTTAGTCCCTTTATTAATCCGGGGTAGCCACAGCGGAATTAACCACCAAGTTATCCAGCACGTTTTACGCAGCGGATGCCCTTTCAGCTGCAACCCATCTCTGGGAAACATCCATACACCCTCATTCGCATTTATACACTACAGACAATTTAGCTCACCCAATCCACCTATACCCCATGTCAAACGCAGGGAGAACATGCAGACTTCACACAGAAACGCCAACTGACTCAGCACATCCCCTGGTTCTACTTTAAGCATGAGCCGGTTTAAGATTCTGACAGTATGATAACCTTGGGAAAAAAAAATCATGGTTTCACGATTTAATGGTATTGTAATTACTGCTCTAAAATATGTTATTTTTAAATGTCTGGGTAAACAGTATATTTACGGATATTATGTTTCAACATGGTATATTTATTTGTAACATTTGAAATATTTTAAAACAATAAATGTCAGCAATAGGCATGGGACGATAACCGTTTTTTAAAGGTATACACTGTTTGGAAAGGCCAAGGTTTGAAAACTGCCAAAATTTTCTGCTATACCATTACCAAGGTATGCGAACGCTTTTTTGACGTTTTAAGTTTTTTTAGGACAACAGTCTCTCCAGCAGAAAAGATATCCAAATATGTTGCTTTAAATTGTAAAAAAAAATCTTTGTTTTAGAAACTAATGAAGACAGCAGAATGATGATTTTAATTGTTAAGGCTTATGTTTACCGCTCCAAAATATTTTAAATGTTTCTCAAATTAAACTATATTGTGTTCAAAGGGGAAAAATGTTTTTATTTTTTACCCAGACACTTAAATAAAATATTTTTAGAGCAGTAATCACAATCCCTTAAAACGGTGATATTTTAATCCAAGGCAACAGACAGTCAGAATCATATACTGGCCTATGCCTAGTCAGCAAACATTAAATGAATTGTGCTGGCTTAATTACTTTCAAAAACATTTTTTTTTCAACTTGAAAAGGCATCTTTGGATATCTTTATTTTCTTTGGATATAAAGTAAGCCACTGCACTGTTCAGCTCTAAAGCAAGCATTAGTTATGCAGATGTTTCCTGAATCATGGACTGAAAAAACTCAATAAAATTGTCTTAAAAAACACATAAAAACCAACAACTACCTTAGGAATGGTATAACAGAAAATTTTAATAGTTTTAAAACCTTGACTTTTCAAAACCGTGGTAAACCTTAAAACTGGTTAGCGTCCCATGCCTAATCTACTTGTACATTAAGGTAGCATTCAGAAAAACAAAACACCAGTGAAGAAAATTCCGCGGCCAGCTAGCTTTTCAGAAGTGTTATTGCAGAGCAACACAAACAGCATGCAGAAGTATAAATGCAAAACTACGTCCAAGACATGCGCAGTGGATCACGTCGATCACTTAAACACATTTTATTAGCTTTTGTTGTGTTTTTTAAATCATTAAACGTCTTTAAAATACAAAGTCTTACAAAATGCCTTAATATTATTCAATAAAATTTAAATAATTATTACAACGAATTTTGCCTTTGGTTTTTAGCCAAGCGCAACTGATTTTGGATTCCACCTATTCATACTAAAGACACAATAAGAACCTGTTTCTCTTGTTCTCCTCACTTTAACAGCTGAACAGAGATCCAACTGGCCTGCACACTTCCACTTTGTGCAGGAGTGTGCAGGTGTGAGCACACTCAACTAAGAGTGACTTTCTGTGGTTCAAACTCAACACACTTAATGCATGTAATAAACCTGCAGCATCAATCGCTCATGTTAAGGCATTCGTCACTGGTTATGTTCAGATGCTCATATGTGCAAGTTTTCCCACAGTCTATTTCAGGAAATCATAGTGAAAGCGCTTTCCCTGAATATGAGGTCAGGTGAGTTTACAAAGCCAGATTTGGCATTTAGTGGCGACCAGGCACACGGCCCACAGACGAGAGTTTGGAATAGTGGGTTAGTCTAGTGATTCTGGCTCTTCGCTTGTTTCTAATCTTCCAAGAGTTACAACAAAAGATCTCAAGCCGGAGATTAACAGGCCTATCTTCCTCTGCTACAGATGGCCAACTATATACACAATGCACCGGAAACAGATATCGTCCAGCTCTGAGATTGCTCTAAAGCACTGTCTGAAACTGTTTCAGGAACAAGACTCACATCTACAAACATGAAAAAGCACCTGTTCAGTTCAGGCCAAAAGGGAAAACCTGCAATGCATCTGTTGCAGTCTTTCATTTGCGCCTGATTTTCAGATATTGTCTTTAGACAGTGAAAAGGAGGTTTATTTTTTTAAAACAATTTATTTCAGAAACATTTTTTGGTTATGCTGGATAAAAGTTTCTTTACATCCGGATAGCAATTAATACAATTATACATAATTAATACTTTATATCTATTTTAATCAGCATAAGTTACTTTTGAGAGTAATGCATTACAATATTAAGTTACTCCCCAAAACATTATCTAGCTGCGTTACTTAGTTACTTTTTATGGTAAGTAATGTGTTATGGTACTTTGAGTTACTTTTGCATTCATTTTTTTTTTTTTTGCTTGATCTCTTTCAGAACTTGCAGGTTTTTATTCTTCTTTTTATTAATTGAGGAGATCTGCAATTACCAATGCACTGTGTAACCTTGATTTACTTTTATAAAAAAATATTGCAGGATAATGTTATCTTCCTGACCTCAGGGATATACATGGCGTATACAGTATATAGATTAATGAAAGTTGTAAGCAATGTGTTTGCTATTTTTGTACTTTTGTGTTTTTAGTAAATCACAGACCATTTTCCCACAGCCCTCTTTTCCTTTACTTCCATGCATTCAGAATAATGAAAATACTTCCATCACAGAAATATAAGGCTCAGCCATCTTGGTTTTTGTGTGTTCTGAACTGTAGGCCTAGAGAAGCTCGAAACAGTGATTTTTGATGACCTTAATCCGACTAGTAAGTCATAACTGAACTAAACAGAAATTAAATTAAGACATGTAGAGTATGCAGATATTAGTGGCATTATTAAAGCAAACACTGCAATCAAACTATTACCGCCATGTAGGACTTTTCGCCATATTTTCCGACAAGATCCACACACGTGGCTGTCAGTAAAGGACCTTGCTCACACACACACACACACACACACACGCAGACACACATGACGAAATGCGGAAGTTTTTTCTTTGCATTTGGTGTGTGTTAATGAATTCCATAACTCTCTCACCAGTCCTTACTCCTTATTTGTTTGTCACGAGGGCATAAATGAAATGTTCACGGCAGCTAACTCTCTGCAACTCTCACATGGTCACCCACTGAAGCTAAGCAGGGCTGCGCCCGGTCAGTACCTGGATGGGAGACCACATGGGAAAGCTAGGTTTCTGCCGGAAGTGGTGTTAGAGAGACCAGCAGGGGGTGCCCAACCTGCAGTCTGTGTGGTTCCTAATGCCCCAGTATAGTGACGAGGACTCTATACTGTTTAATGAGTGGCGTCTTTCAGATGAGACGTTAAACTGAGATCCTGACTCTCTGATGGTAAAAAAAAAAGTAAGAAAAAGCGTAGGAGTTTCACCTCGGCATCCTGGCCAAATTTGCCCACTGGCCTCTGTCCATCATGGCCTCCTAAACATCCCCATATCATAATTGGCGTCAACACTCTATCTTCTCTCTACCTATCAGCTGGTGTGTGGTGTTCAGTCTGGTGCGAAATGGCTGCCTTCATGTCATCCAGGTGGATGCTGCACACTGGTGGTGGATAAGGAGATTCCTCCTAATGTGTAAAATGCTTTGAGTGTCCAGAAAAGTGCTATATATTTATATCATGAGTGAATGTGAAACATGCCAAACTGCAGTTAAAGTCACCT